AGGGGAAGGGCTCAAGATGATCGCATGACACACACCACAGTTTAGCATGGGATGTTTCAAACTTTGATATTTTTACATGATTTTGATACAGTATTTGATATGATGTTTTGAGATACACGATTTATGATTTTTATATATGATGATGGTTGAATTATGGTTTTTCATAAATGATTTAAAAACAAAATTTTTGGTCTTGGATTTTGGGATGTTACATTTTCCGCCTCATGCATAGATTTATAACCTATAAAACCCATCAAATTTGTGACTAGATGTGGTTTTAGAGTGATTGGATGAAGATGAAGAAGAAGAAGAAGAAGAAGAAGAAGAAGAAGACATTGTAACTACAAAAGACAAAGAACATGGTTTATCACAAAGGCTTTTAACTAAGAAAGTTCTCATCAATAGAACACACACAAAGCTCGGGCTTATGAATCAAAGAATGAAACGAACCCTGGATACATGATTTTATAGTAAAAGCTAAGAGATATGAATCCCCAAAAATCAAGGATTTCACCTAGTCTATGTAAATACATAGTATAAATCTGATATCCCTAAGATATCGAAACTGCTAACTAAGTATGCGTATATCCGTATATCCAAAACATTATAATATTGATGTTGGCCTTGTAGATTAAGTATTCACGTTGATGCTGGTGAGACATTGGCACTGATGAAAGTCAGCATGACCTGGTTTTACTTCATCAAATTCTAAGGTTCAACCTTATATAGGACCAGAAGGAAATTAAGGTTACCTAGTCGACGTTGTGGTGCCGACGAAAAGCTAATTGCCCGATATATATATATATATATATATATATATATATATATATATATATATATATAGGGAGGGAGAGAGAGCGAGAGAGAGAGAATAGATCGATCAGATTTATCGACAATTCGTCTCTATAACCTCAAATAAAACGATGTTGTCACCTATTTTGCAGTTAAATAGATTCAAGAATATATATATACATATATATATATATATATATATATATATATATATATGTGTGTGTGTGTGTGTGTGTGTGTATGTGTGTGTGTGTATATATATGTATTTTTTTTATGATATTGATGGGTTTTTAGGTTACAAAACAAAAGATTTAAGCAATGGAATCTTAAAACTGTTTTATAGGCACATACGACCTAGAGATTCATGACATTTTCTCATAATAGCAGCATACTATGAAAACTAATGTAACCTATGTATTACCGATAATTACAAAGATTAAAATACATACCTTTGAGTACTATTAGAAATACTCAACCTTTGATCCTTAAGTGTTCCTTGAAAAGCTAGCACCAATAGTGTGGATGCCTTTAATGGCTCACACTCGATATCCTAGAAACCTTAGGAATGATTTGGAGAGAGGATAAAGGAAGGAATTTTGATTTCTTGCTTGTGTATACTAAGGTTCGAAAATGGTTAACAAGGGTCCCTATTTATAGCTGCTGGATCTCTATGATAAACTCTAATTAGAATAATTAAATAATATAATTTAATCTATTCAAGGTAGTTATCTTTATAAGCTATTGGAGGTTTCCAAAATCCTTCTGGACCCCATCTAAAATCGTCCAATCCACGAAGGGTTCTAGAATGCCTGTCTTACTTAACAATTAAATAATTACAATTTACCCCTTTTGTACCTTTAATTAATTCTAATTAATCCGAAATTAATTTCCAATTGATTATGATTAATTCTAAATTAAATTTTAACAATTTGTAATTAATTTATTAATTATATAATAAATTAACAAATCACTTCCTCACTTTCCTAAAGTTGTTCCTAGCTATTTCTAGTTATTAAGGACAACCCAAAAAGAACTTTGTTTTAATTCCAAAAAGTTATACCGATTTAGTTATGACCTTAGACACCTAATCTAATAAATATGTCGTCCCTATCGCTTTTCAGAAACCTGCCAACCTTGTTTCGTTCCTGCCTAACTAAGAGAGACGATATGTCGTCACTATAGCTTAAGAAGTCAAAGTTTATTTCCTAACCCTATAACGACAACACGTCATCCCTATATGGTCCTCTATATTGACAATTTGTTTTATCCCTATAAGCTTCTTCTCTATAAAGTTTATTCTTATAGTTTTAACCAATTCATCCACTGATCTTCAAAGTCTCATTATCAGTTTATTGGGCATATAGTTTGTCATGACTTATGTAGGCAATCTTTCTTATTTTGTTGGGTATTTCGGTTACACGTAATAAAGTCGGGTTATTTATAACTCTATGAAAATATGCTCTTCATATTTATGAATGAGTAAACATGCTAAATTGCAACCCAAATCATACTCTTGTTGATACTTAATCAAAATTGGATGATACTTGCTCACTTGTTAGCGACCAACTCTATACCACAATCATGCATGTGGTCTTAAGTACTTAACATTTACTCGATTCGATTTCACTTATAAAGTGTAATAAATTTAGTTATAGATGTATGATCTAGGGGAACAAAACTTACATGCTCTAAATCGTTTCCTTTGATATGTATATGGGACAAAAAAAGCCTCCAGCTTTACCATTTGACCATTACATGTGTCATTTCCTACTCAAATGCTGATTGGAGGTATGTTCATGTTGCTCCACTAGTGGTTGGCTACTATGTGTTCTTCAGTGACAACTTAATATCTTAGTCTTCTAAATGGAAACCTATAATTTCTTGATAAAGCGTCCAAGTCGAGTAAAGAGTTTTTGCTTATGCAGTTGCATGCTAAAAGTTGTTGGTTACATAATCTCCTCTGTGAGCTATATTCCCGTCTCTGGAAAGCCAATATAGTCTATTATGATAACACTAATGAAATTTATTAACACTACTAGAAAATAGGGGGTTTTCCTATAGAAAATAGCTACGAAAAATTTTCATAGCTAATTAGCTACAAAATCGCTACAGATCAGCTACAGAATGAGACACCCTAATATAGTAATGGAATAGCTACGGAGACTATTCTGTAGCTAATTAGCTACAGATTATCTACGAAATGACTACAACATAGCGACATATACTAATCTGTAGCCATTCCGTAGCTAATTAATTACAGAATAGCTACGAGCTAGCAACAAAAGAAAATAGCTACAGAATAGCTATGAAATAACGACGAAGTTATAATTTCCATTATTATTATTATTACTCCCATTATTATTATTTTTCATTATTTGACTCTTAATTTTTTTAATCATTTTTCTTAAATATTTAAGACACGAACAATTAAAAATCATACTAATATTACTATTAATAATAATATTTATAAACATCATAATAATTGTAACAAATGTGTTTAACATACAAACAAACTGTTAAACGAAAAAAAAACTATATTTAACACATCAATAAGGTAAAATAATCTATGTATAATTTATAAATAATGAAAAATGATTATAAGAAAGGGAAATACGTATATTTGTATGTGTATGTATGTATTTATGTATGTATGTATGTGTATGTACGTGAATGTGGGTGCATATGTAAATGTACGTGTGTATGTGTATGTGTGTATAAATATGTATGTGTATGTGTGTATTTGAATCTGTATGTGTATGGTTATGTCTATGTATATGTGTATGCTTGTGTGTATTTGAATGTGTATGTAAGTACATATGCGTATGTGTGTGTATTTGAACATGTATGTGTATGTTTATGTTTATCTATGTGTGTATGTGTGTACATGTATGCGTATCAAAAATCGCAAATATTAATAAGTATTACAGTATTAAACCACTAAATTAGTAAGAGATCCCGAAGGTGCATACGACTTTATGAATAATATTAATAACTACAAGTTGGTGAATATACATATACATATACATATATATAATAATAATAATAATAATAATAATAATAATAATAATAATAATGTAAAATAAAAGTGTGAAAAAAACGAAGCGAGAAAAACAACGTTTGGTGTTCGAAAAATCGAAAATAAGAAAAATTTGTAGCTATAAGTTGGTGAAAATATAGATAATAGATCCCGTATGTGCATACGACTTTATGAACGATATTAATAGCTATAAGTTGGTGAAAACATAGATAATCATGTATAATAGAGGTGTGAGAAAATGTAGCAAAAAAAAAAAGACGTTTGGTGCCCTAAAAATCGAAAATAAGAAAACTCCGTAGCTAATTAGCTACATATTTTTCTTATTTTCGGTTTTTCAGACACCAAGCATCATTTTTTTCGCTTCGTTTTTTCACATATTTGTTATTCATGATTATCCATATTTTCACTAACTTACAACTATTAATATCGTTCATAAAGTCGTGTGTACCTTCGGGATCAAGTACTTGTTCCATAGTTTAACATTGTAATGCTTATACTTTTCACCAACTTGTGATGAATTATGTTTGTATATGTATATTTATATACATGAATGAGTTGTGGTATATGTATATGTGTATATATGTATGTATATGTGTTTGTAAGTATTTGTATGTGGATGTATTGATAAGCATTATAATGTTAAACCATTAAACGAATAATGGATCTCATATGTGTAAACGACTTTATGAATGATATTAATAGCTATAAGTTGGTGGAAATATAGATAATCATGTATAATAAAGATATGAAAATACAGATCATCATCATCGTCGTCGTCGTCGCCATTACCACTGCCACCAAAATAATTGTAATAATAATAATGGAAATAATAATAATAATAATAAAATAATAATAATTATTATTACTAATAATAATAATAATAATAATAATAATAATAATAATAAAGGAATTCAAGTCGGTATTGTATAAAAGCACTTATGGTAGCCTTTATATGTGGATGTGGTATGCTCGACCTGTTGGTTAAATCGTTAACATTGTACATATAGTATCCGAGTTCGAATCCTGATGTCCTCATTTTTTTGCGTTTTTTAGCCTCCGTTTTTTTAATCTCTCAAATATTGCTAGATTTTGTTTACCTGCTTCCTCCCCCCCCCCCCCCCCCCCTAAATATTTTGAGGTTTCATTTCCCTCCTGAATCCGGCCACCTCCAATGTCGCACCTTTTCATCTTCAACCTTTTCGTCTTCAATCTCATCTGTAATCGACATCGCCATCACCGCTTTAGCATCCACCATTGGTCGACCTTGCTGTCACTGCTCCACGAAATGTATGCCTTGCAGTGAGTTTTCGATTTTTACTTCCTCAGTCGCATATCTCCAACGGTCGATTTTTACTGCTTGATTTCTTCTTTGCCGCTCGATTTCATCTCCAAGCTTTTTTATTTTGATATTTACTTCATGTATAAAACCGCAATGTGAGTTTTCGATTTCTAATGCTTGATTACTCCATTTTTTTTTTCGATTTCTACTGCTCTATTACTTCATGCTCGATTTTTTTTTCTTATGAAGTGTTTGTTTCATAAGTTCATAGAATCTTAATTTCTATTTATCAAAGTTGTGCTTCTTGTTCTACTTTGATTTGTATACCTCCATAATTTGGAGCAGTTACAAACATTTGTTTTGTTGCTTTCACTTTGGTCATATTCCTATTTGTTTTGTTGCTTCTTGTTCTACTTTGATTTGGATACCTCCATGATTTGGAGCAGTTACAGACATTTATTTTGTTGCTTTTGTTGCATTCACTTTGGCCCTATTCCTATTTGCCCTCTTTATCTTCGTTCTTGATTTTCTTCCGTTTTCACATCTTTTGCAAATTGTATCAACAACTTTTTTATGTGGTGTTTAATTTGATATTGTTGAGCAAATTCTTGTTGTTTATTCTCCTACAGGGTTTCATAGCTGACTTGTGTAATAGTTGTTGGTTGGTTGTCCTTCATGAAGCTTTTTGGTTTTGTATATTCTAGGTATGAGGTGGCTTCCTCCTTCCAAGTCATATTTTTCCTATTTTTCTCCTTATATTGCTTTGGTGAGATTTAATATTTATGAGTGTTGCTACATTCATTTCTGAAATAGATTTCTCACTTTTAATTTAGCGAATGAACATTTTCCATTTTAATTCTTACAAGATCTCTGTGGTTGTGATTGCAGTTGTTGATGGTGCTGTCAAAACACAATAGCTTTCCTTTGGTTCTCGTTCCATTATTTAGCGATCACCTTGAAATACAGGTTGTTGCAACGAGTTGTATTAAAGGTCCAACCAATCAGTCTTTCGAGAAGACTGAGGACGATATCAATGTTAACCTGGAATTATGAGGAAGAGGAAAGGTAAATCCAAACATGTAAAATTTTGATAAATCTTTTTTTTTGGAAATGGAACTTCCCTAACGAGGGTTTCCGGACCAGCTTTCGCGCACCGACTAATCCCCCACTGCAAACATAAAGCTTTGCCTCATGCACTGGAGTCACTGCAAACGAACCTCCATGGCCACAATGGCTGAGTGGTGCCAGGATTTGAACATGGATCAATAGGTTATCCACTATATCTTCCACATGCCTTACCAAATCACGACAACCCAAGTGGTTAAATCTTGTCATTTAGAAGTAAGAGCATTATTTTCCATTTAATCTTTTGCATCTAAATATGTTATGTTTGTTTTAAAGGTGGTGGTTATAAGCATTGATCCTTGTAGACAATATTTGATACGTGAAGATGAGGTTGGATTCAAGGCTATTAAACTAGAAAACCTGGGTGAGTAAGAGTAGAATTATCAATTATGTATTTTATGTTATACAATAAATTTGAATAACTTATAAATTTTTTGTTTTGTTAGACCCAAATGAGGAAGAGTATGCCTGGTATCACTGCATCAATGCACTGTAAGTGTTGTAAATAACAACATATTTTTAAGTTTGATCAAATTTTTTATTTTGTTGTATAGATGATGTTTATTGTAATATTTATTATTTGTTTTTTATTGTAATGTGTAAATAGCCCTTACATTTTGTTGTGTAGATGATGTTTTCGTAATGTGTTAATGTAATGAATTTTTATTTCATTTTAGCCAAATTAATTGTTTTTTATTTAAAAAAATTATTGTTTAAAAAAAATAGAAAGTAATTAGCTACGGATTAACTATAAAAAATCTATAGCTATTACTTCCGCATCTATTTCGTAACTATCCACTTCCGTAGCTATTTAGTTATGTAACTATTCCGTAGCTATCAAATTCCGTAGATATTCTGTAGGAAATCCGTAGCTATTTACTTCCGTAACTATTTCGTAACTATGGTAGCTACGAAAAATTCCGTAGCTAATCCGTAACTATAATTTAACCACAGGCTATTATGCTACAAACATTTTTCCGTAGTAATTCCATAGCTATTAAATCAGTTTTCTAGTAATGTAAACCAACAATCCGATTCAACATTAACGGACAAAGCACATTGATTTAAATACACTTTGTCCCCAACAAAGTTACAACCAACCAAATATGTGTCCTCTATGTTCCATCAACCCTCCAATATGCTGACCATATTCACCAAATGATCAACTTTTATCGTCTCTATTCTTGGATTTCTATTCACCACAAGGAAAAAGGCCCTTACCGGCGACAAAAGTCGCCGGTAAAAGTCCCAAATGTCGCCGGTAATGATAATAGCGGCGACGCGTCGCCGGTAATGAGTCGCCGGTACTGACTCGTCGCTATTGATCAATTTGTCGCCGCTAAAGATAATAGTCGCCGCTACTGACAATTGTCGCCGCTAATAATATTGTCGCCGGGAATGACATATGTCGCCGCTAATAGTGTCGCCGGCAAAAGTGTCGCCGGTAATGATAACTGTCGCCGGTAATTTGTTTTTCAATTTTTTTTTAAATAACGATTTTCGTTGCCGGTGATAATATCGCAGGTAAAAGTGTCGCTGGTAATAACAATATTCGATTAAATATCAAAACCAATAGTGTCGACGCTAATTACAAAACAAACATCCTATTAAATATCAAACATAATAGTGTCAAACAAACATCCTATTACAAACAAACATCCAATATACAATTAAATATCAAAAGTCATACTATCCGAGTAGCAAAACAACAAAATTTTTACATTCTACTAAGTAGCAAAACGAGACAACATATGCAAATAAAACCCATTCTTTACATACCCTCATCGCTGTTCCCATCGTTTCCTTGATTGTTTTGGGATTGAAAAAACGAATAAAGCTCATCCCTACATGCCGGGTCGGCGAGCATTGCACGAAGATTTTCCAACTACATAATTAATAACAATATATATAAAATTATAAGTTAGATCGTCAAACATAAACAAAGTACATTGCTATATTTTCCAACTACATAATTAATAACATAAACTATCAAAATACATTGTTATTTTTAAAGTAAGATAGAAAACCAAAGTACATTGCTATATTTTGCACTTGGGACAAAAACTAAATTACCAAACTTTTTAGCAAATAACCACCACAAAACCAAAACTACCAAATCAACATGCATTTTACGATGCTAAAGTAGATTGCTATTTTACCTGTGATGGTTGTGATGGTGGTTGTGATGGTTGCGAAGGCTGTGGAATCGTCGGGAGACCAGAAGGTTTGCGGCCAATGCCTCTAATGTGGCCACGTCGCTCTCCTAATACTTTCTCGAACGTAGCTCTTTCTTGAGTTGGCGTAAACTCACTTTCACCTTGAGTTTGTTCTAGCAGCTCTTCAACTAACCGATTCTGTAACTCCCAAAAGTGAGTAACAATTAAGTATAAATAAACATTTAAATATATGATAAAATTATAATTAAATACTTACATATTGTTGTTCCGATTCAGCAGTAACAAATACACCATTCTTATCGGTATGAGCTTTGCGAAATGTTTCCACTCTCTTAAGGTTCTGTTTAAGTTTAAAAATTAGATTATATTTTAAATAAATAATTACATGTATCGTACGGTACCTTCTTATAGCAAGTACTGCTATACGAGCTCGAACCCCCACGATTCACAATTGTTTGCTTTTCACGGATTTTTTTGTTCCTTTCTGAAGCAATTTTGTGTTCGTCAGTTTGAAAATACTCAACTGTCTTCTCCCAGTTATCAACAAGCATACCATCCGGAGGATTTGCCAATGCTCTCGGGATATCTTCATACCCTCCGACCATGTTGAAATATTCTTTTGCGTCGGCTTTACGCTCTCGAAAACCTCTTAACAAGGCTGCTTGAAAACTCTCTGTCAATAAAGTAGCTTGTGCATCCTGGTACATTTGATTGAGATCAAACTTTGTCTACAATAAAAAAAAAAGTTAACCAAGTAAGAAACAATTATAGTTAAACCTATAAAATATATTTAAATAAATAATTACCGCTAAATGTTGTAATACAGTGTCCTTTATTTCAGGGGAAACTCTTTTCCAACTCCATTTGTCGAAAGGGACCATCTGCCACATTGTTTTCCCAACTTCTCGGGAAAACATGTCTCCCGCCTCTCCTACGGGATTAAATGTGATATCTCTATCAAATTGCATGGCTATTGGTTTCCCCTGGTTCTGCAAGATTGCTTTTTCAAGCTTTATATTTTTTGCTTTTCCTCGAGCTTTCCTTCGGGCACGTCCCTCAACTACAAATGTAATTAAAAATTATTAGAAACGACATTTAATTTATGATAATTGAACAAAAATAGTAAATAAAAATTCATGATAAGACTTACCGTCCTGCTCGTGCTGGCCAGGACCTCTACCACCTGGGAAAGGTGGGTCCTCAGCTCCGTCTCCCCCATGTCCACGACCCATGACAGCAGCCATGGTAAACATAAACAACAGCCACACTCTCATCATTTCCTGAAAAATTATAAGATATACAAATACAATTTTTATTATAGATACACATTACATAGAAATAAACATTTAGATAGGAATAAACATTTAGATAGGAATAAACATTTCCATTTAAACTAGAAATCCAAATACAGTTCATATTACAAACACATATTACAAATACATATTACATAAGAACTATTCTAATCAGAATCTTTCTCATATCCTTCAGTGTCTTCTTCGGTATCATATTCAGAATCGGTGTCATCGTAATCAGTATCGCAATCAGAAACATCATTGACTCTACCAGTTGGCGGAGGAACTTCAGATGCACTTTCTACATCAACAATGACTCTAGGAATGTTTTGAAAGTACATGCTGAAATCGATAAAAAGTGGAGCATCGGATGAAGAGATATTTTGAAGTACATCGACATCGTCTACATTTTCGTGTGAGACATTGTCAACATTTTGAACAAGGTCATCGTTCGATGGTAGATCCCAAATACTTCGATGATTAACATGCTCGACAAACACACCGATGGTTATTGTTTGGCTCTCTGATGTAGAACACTTGTTTGGCTTGTGACGCATATATGAGTTGATCATCTTTGTATGCTTCGCGTCGTGTGTCGATACTGGTGAAACTATCACTAGAAATAACTCCTATTCGAGTATCAAACCACTTGCAACGAAATAGTACAGTTGAATAATCATGTGTATACCTCAACTCTATAATCTCTTCTAACTGACCATAATACTTCTCGCCTTTCTCACCCACCGCTAAAACCCCAGAGTTTTGTGTTGTACGTTGTGTGTCACGACTAAGTACCATAAACCTAACACCATTGGTATCGTTCACTTTCTTACTAATGTTAGAACCAAACCCATCCGGCAACTTAACCCTTTTATAAATTGACAAAGAGTTGTCGACTAGATTTCGTGAAAGAGTATCTTGCCTGGGGTCTATGAAACTTGTCACCATTTTTTTGCAACCATTCATTTCTCCGAATGTTTAGAATTCTCAAGTCCTCTCGTGCATTTGATGTGTCTTTGCTTTTATCGTTCATTAGGAGAGTACCTAACAAACTCTCATCCACATTTTTCTGGACATGCATGACATCTATGTTGTGTTTCAACTGTAGAGAAGACCAATACTCTAGTTCGAAGAAAATGCTTCGCTTCGACCAGTTCAACTCATAATCTTGCCGCTTTGGCTCCCCGCCTCCATGCTCAGGATGTTTACCCGGTTTACGAGTTAGTAGACGACCTAGTTGCTCTTGTATGTCATCATTATTAAAGTGTCTCGGAGCGGGTCTTGTCTCTCCATCCCATTAAAGTCCAACCTCTTTCTTAACGGATCATTAGCATCTAGGAAACGACGATGACCGATGTATACGACTTTGTTTGTTGCACGGTACGAAGGAGTGTCTTCATTGCAAGTAGCACATGCTCTATACCCTTGCCCACTCCAACCCGATAAACTACTACGAGCTGGCCAATCGTTTATTGTCCACAACAACATAGCTCTCATCGTGAAGAATGTGTTTGTCGCGCATCTTTAATACGTACGCCTGAGTTCCACAAATGTTTAAGCTCTTCCACCAACGGTCTAAGGAAAACATCCATATCCTTACCTGGAGCTTTCGGTCCTGGAATCAACAAAGTCAACATGAATGATGACTCTTTCATACAAAGCCAGGGTGGCAGATTGTATGTGGTGAGTATGACCGGCCATGTGCTATGTGGATTACACATGTTTCCAAATGGATTGAAACCGTCAGCTGAAAGACCTAGGCGTACGTTACGGGGTTCACTCGAGAAGTCGGGGTATTTTTTATCAAAATCTTGCCAATGTTCCCCATCAACAGGATGAATCATCACACCATCTTCTGAACGTCTGGTACTATGCCAAATCATATTTTTGGCAGTGTGCCTCGAACAATATAAACGTCGTAGTCTAGGGGTCACAGGAAAGTACCGTAACACCTTATGAGGTACTTTCTTACCCTTGGTGTTTTTATCGATCCATCGGCTCTCTTTACAAACGGGACAAACTTGCAATGAATCATGTTCTTTCCAAAAGAGACAACAATC